GGGTGGCAAGAAGTGGTGGCTAAACGGGTGAGCGTAACACAAACACACACACACATCTACCTGTTTCCAAAGCCAGTACCCCGATGCATCTCCCTTCCCTATTGCTACATCCTTTGCTAACTATCCTTTATTTGCTTGTCTGGGATGGCAGGATAGCTCTATTTGCTTGTGTAGAGGATACACACACACACCTGTTTCTGAAGCCAGCAACCCATCCACCTCCTCCCCCCATTTGCTACATCCTCTGCTAACCCTACCTTTTATTTGCTTGTCCGGGATGGCAGGATGGCTCTATTTGTTTGTCTAGGAGACACACACACACACACACACACACACACACACACACACACCTGTTTCCAAAGCCAGCACCCAGATCCACCTCCCCTCCCCATTTGCTACAGACTCTGCTGATCCTACCTTTTATTTTCTTGTCCAGGAGGGCAGGAGGTGTTCGCCAGATTTTACATGTCTGTTTGGGTTCTCCTGGGATGCTGCCCAGCAACGTTGCATGCATTTGGCTGGGATGTACAGTTTTGGGCTGAATGTGTCATGCTGTCTTAAGCCATTTGGATAGTACAGAAAATCATAGTTTTCATGAGCAGGAATTAATGTGTTGTGTGAACCCAGCCACGTGCCAGGGTTCCTCAAGTGGTGTCTTCCTAATGACAGTACTGTCAGAGCTGTCATCCAATAGGATGCCATGCTCTTCTAAGGCTGACCTTACAAGGCTGTAATATGAGGGTTCACAGCCCTTATTGATATGTGTACCATCATCAAAACTTTGGAGGATCGCCATAACAATCAACTATCAGTGGTGGGGTGGATACCGTATAAATACTGTCATACATCTTATGTCCTGAATGGTTCATCCAAAATCCAAACCTAAAAAAAAAAAAAAAAAGACTTTAAACTCTTCTTTTTACAATTTATAAAGGCTGAGATTTTGTGAAGGCAACAGCTCTCACTGTTTGTTAGTGTTATTGCCTGAAGCCAGCAAGATTCATGGTGAGGCAGTCAGAATCATGTGAAATGTAATGATTCTTGAATTTGGTGTCATTTTCTAGTAATTATTTTTATAGAAAATTCCTAGTGGAAACTCCCTCCAGTATCCACATGGAGGATCGGGCGGTTCCTGGGTTGATAGGTTGGAAATACTGTAATCTAGTGTGTTCAAAGTTGAGACAACTAGAAGCTCAGAGTTGAGAGAACTAGAAGCTGATAGAGTGCTGCTTGACTAGTGAAAGATCTCTTGATCATTCCAGTTTAGAAAAAGATCAAATTGCTGGGTGTGGGGAAAAATATTTAAAGGCCATTAGTGGACCAACCGTTCCCTCAACTTTCCTCTTGTTCCTTACATATCAAAATAAAATTTGGGGGGGTTATTTTTGGCATTTGTTGCAAATCTTATCTCATTCTGAGCCTTAACTTTCTCTGTCCTTGCAGATTTGGGCTATTTGTTGATTATTCTGCTCTAGTTACAAGCTGCTGTATCCATTTTTAATGCTGGTCCTTTTTGTCCCTCAGCTAGTCAGAACGTTTTGTATAACTATGATTTTTAAACCTTGATTTTTTTTAAATCAGTATGCATTAGGTTAGGCTATGAAGCATGGTTTATTTAAAAAAAAAAGGGGGGCTGGATTCTTTGCCCAAGCCAAAACACATAAATTTGCTTCTAGTGCAGAACTAACCTGCTGCCCCAATAGTTTTTCATATTATGAACTCCTCCTCCTCCTCAACCTCTTCCTCCTCCTCTTCCTCCCCTTCTCCTCCTCCTCCTCCTCCTTTTTTGGGAAATGGGCACAACTCTTCATCTTTTCATTTTGATGCTCTTTGCTCACTCATTTCTATCTGGAAAAATTATAACAGGAGTATTAGATTTTAAAAGTACGCCAGTTTTATACCAACTTTATAGAGTCCTTGGTGCTCTCCGAGATAGTTCCTTGCTTGAAGATGTTTCATTACCCAACTAGGTAATATCATCAGTGTGAGTGTGTTCGTTAGAAACTCGGGCATACAAAATTTGCATGGAGCTGAAGAAGTGTTCCCTGAATTTGGAAGAAAAACACTTTTATCTGTGATTACACAGTTTATTGCTATATGAATTATCACTGGAGACAGGTGGAGGTGGCAGCCATTGGTCCCTGTAATCACAATGGCCAAGCCCAATTCAATGGCACCTAGCTAAGTAACTGAAAACATCATTGACAGAAATTTGAATCCCGAGCTGGAGAAGATTTCCCTAATGTGGGTGCCTTCCAGATAGCTGACTTCCACTGTGGTCAATAAGGGCCAAAATGTGCAAGGAATTGTGGGAAATGTGATCCATGCATCTTAGGATACCTAGGTTGAAGAAGGCTGCTCTGGGTTTTCATTAGCTTTTCGTCTATAATCATCTGTAATTATCACTGTACGGTTCTTGGCAGGCTAGTAGACATTCTGAACTGGCTTACATGCCTGGATTCAACCTTTAAACATTTCAATCCCTGGAATAGCACCTATTGGCAGGGTACACATTACTGGGTTGCCATGGGGTGGGATGCATAATAGAAAGCCTTTTGCAAATTCTGACAAATCTTTATGCTAAAAACAGGTGCTGTTTTTGTTTCAAGCACATCAGGCAACTTCTGAAGATGCGGTCCTGTGCATCTTGTGAAGGAAGAACCACAGACTTCTGAACGCAAATCCATGAAACTGATTCTGGGCGGATATGCAAGAGAATTCCAGGAAAATGTCTTCGTTGGGTAAGGATTTCATTCTCCTTTTACGGATCTGAAGGGTATTGTTTATGTTTTGTAGGCCCATACTGATCAAGGGACATCCCTTCCTGAAATCACATTTTTGTTTTTGTTTTTACCTGAAGACGAGTTTAAACACTCTTGGAGTAAAATTAACTAATTCTAATCAAGGAGATAAGCAGCCTAGAACTAAGGTGAAATTTCCTGACAGTTAGAACAATTAATCAGTGGAGCAACTTGTCTCCAGAGGTTGTAAATGCTCCAACACTGAAAGTTTTTAAGAAAAGATTGGACAACCATTTGTCTGAAATGCTATAGGGCCGTGATGGCAAACCTATGGCACGAGTGCCACAGGTGGCACGCAGAGCCATTTGTGCAGGCACGCGAGCCCTAGCCAAACTTACCTCACTGCGCATGCGCGTGCCTCCAAGGTAATTTTTGGCCTGTTTGAGGTCTTTTCCAGCCTCCCAGAGGCTCAAGAGAAGCCTCTGCAGCCTTTGGAGGCTGAAAAACAGGCCCGTTTCGTCACTTCCTGTATTTCCGGAAATACCAGAAGTGACAAAACGGGCCCAGTGCAGGTATGGCAGCAGTGGGGGGGGAAATCATGCGCGCATGCGCTGGGGGCGTGGGGGGGCCACGTGCAATGCCTTCTGGGTGCTGGCACGTGAGCATGTGCACGCGAGCGTGAGTGCAATTTTCAGCACAGGAGCCCAAAAAGGTCAGCCATCACTGCGCATGCATCTCCCACACACCCCGCCACTGCACATGCGCGCCAGATACCTGACACAGTAGCTGTCGGGCGGCGTGCGCGCACATGTGCAGTGGTGCTCTTCCAGGCAACCTCTCGTGTGCCGGCAGAAATGGCTCTGCGTGCCACTTCCGGCATGCGTGCCATAGGTTCGCCAACATGGTTCTATTCTATTCTAATTAACCAAATGCATGCTTCCTGGAAAAAGATGGATTGTTTTTCCCTCTAAAAGCGGGTGGGATTCAAATTTTTTAACAACCGGTTCTGTGGGCATGGTTTAGTTGGTGGGCGTGCCTTGGTGGTTATGTTATTGGCTGGGCGTGGCCAACTCAATATCACTCACATCGAGGCACGCATCTCCTCGCCTGGCCTCTCATGACTGTGGGGATGCTGCAACAGTCGTAAGTGTGAAAAATGGTCATGAGTCACTTTTTTCAGTACCATTGTAACTTTGAATGGTCACTCCACACAAGCAAAGTACCAGCAAAGGAGGGGGAAAAACTCCAGAGACGTTCCTGAGACAGGAAGTCTAGTCCTGCCAAGAATGTAATAAGGGTTAATAGAGAGGCAGTTTCTGTAAGCAACACCAGAATGTTTCCTTCCTGCCTTCCTTACAGGATTAGGCCAGTAATTTCTTCTAACAACAGATTCTCCCAACTGCTTAGAATGTTAACAACCGGTTCTAGCGAATAGGTGCAAACTGGTAGAATCCCACCCCTGCCTAAAAGTTACTTGAAGTTGGAGCTACTTCAGACAAAAGTCTACGCAGGCCAATGGCAGCAGCTTTGTGCTTCTGAAAGAGGAGAGAGAAGCTTTTTGCTCAAAGTTTTAGAATACAGGTGGTCCTCGACTTGCAATCATTCGTTTAATGACCGTTTACAATGGCACTGGAAAAAAGTGACTTATGACCGTTTTCAAACTCATGACCATTGCAGCATCCCCATAGTCAGGTGATCAGTATTCAGGTGCCTGACAAGCTAGCATGTATTGATGATGGTTGCAGTCTCCTGGGGTCAAGTTTTGCAACCTTCTGACAAGCAAACTCAGTAGGGAAGCCAGATTCATTTAAGGGCCATGTGACTAACTTAACAACGGCAGTGACTCCTTTAACAACTCTGGGAAAGAAAGTTGTACAACGGGGCAAAACTCACTTAACAACTGTCTCAATTAGCCCCAGAAATTTTGGGCTCAATTGTGGTCCTAAGTTGAGGACTATCCATACTTCACAAGGTTGACCATTGCTTCTTCAAGCTAAGTTGCCTCTTATCTGACCATTGTCTAGTCTGCAGCTCTTCTTCCTGTCTCTCAGGTGGGGATATTTGCAACTCCTTTATTGGCCTCAAAGGCTGTTAGGATGTTATTTGTCAATGGTGAACAACAACTTATACTGTACTGCAGGGGTCCCCAACCACCGGTCCGCGGACCGGTACCTGTCCGCGGAACAAGTCTTACCGGGCCGCTGGCTTGCTGGGCGCCACCATCTTTTTTTGATGAAAAAGTGCTTCCGGTGAGCTTTTCCGGGTAGAAAGCTCACCGGAAGCACGTTTTCATCAAAAAAAGATGGCAGCGCCAGCGCTTCCGGTGAGCTTTTCCGGGTAGAAAGCTCACCGGAAGCACTTTTTCATCAAAAAAAGATGGCGGCACCCAGCTGATGCCGGTACCGGGCCGCGGCGCCCAGCTGATGCCGGTACCGGGCCGCGGCGTAAAAAAGGTTGGGGATCACTGCTGTACTGTATCCCCCCACCAACGTAAGAGTCCTTTTTCATGTTTCCTTTTTCAATATCTTTTCCCTCTCTTCATTAGAATTCCCTAACGTGACAATAAAGTTAGAAGACAAAGAAGATGTTTCATGGCTTCCAAACAACCAGGTGGCAGAAGGAAGTCGGAGCTTCTCAGTTGATCATTCAGGTACAAAAAAAGAGGGTCCTAGATTTGTGCCCAGTGCTTTTTAAGGTCCACAGTTTGGAGCTAGACAAATTAAGGAATGAAGTGTAGTGGAGCATAATGATTAAAGGATTGTGTGATGACCTGGAGTGTAACACAAACGTAACAAAATCCAAAACGTAAATAAATGTCCTTTAATGCCTCCAATTTGGCCCCACTGTTCAATCATTCTCAGTTGGAGATAAAACTTATTCAAAAATAGTCTTCAAAAGAAAGCAATACAGTCCAAACTTAATGAGCAGATAGAAGTGAAATAAAAAACTAAAACAAACTACAATGAAGGAATTTCCACAATGGACCAGGATAAGTAATTACCAACTTCAAGGAGATAACAAGGCACAGTCTGTTGGAAGGACACCAACCAAGATCAGCCCAAAATAAAACATGCTTTGCTTCTGGCAACTTCGTGTGGTAATCGTCTCTCTTATATACTATTCTCCCCAGCTACAACCAATGAGGGGGATCATGGCCCGTTTCTCTCTCGTAAGCCAAGTTGTTTCCTTCTCCGTTCCTCCCTGCGTGTCCTAGGATGAAGAGGGGATGGGCCTGATTCTTCCTCTGGCTCCCCAGCCTCCTCCACAACCTCCAGAGCCACACCTCCACTCCCTGTCGGCTGTTCCTCCTCTCCCTCAGAGTCCAACTCTAACAAGGGCATGACAGATTGAACCATGAGCTAGGTTGTGTACAGCTTATATTTATTACCTTAGCCTTGGCAACCCATCATATTCCAGCTTCAGTGCTCTTCTCTGGTGTTTGAGATAAGTTTTATTTCTAGAATGATCACTGTAAGTTTCACTGCACCAAGAACATGCCCATCAATACTTGCAGAGCAAACTACTTATATATAAAGAGGAACCAAACCTCACTCCACTTCAGCACTGATGTTGCTACCTAGTTGGGTAATGTAACATCTCTAAGAAAATAACGAAGCGCAGAGAGTACCGAGAACCTCACCGTTCAACCTTGAGCTACAAATAATTCTCTTCTATTTGTACAATGCATCTGTTCGTTTTCTTCCTACATAGGGTTTCCTGTTCCCAAGTCTGAAGTCATCCATGGAGGAGATCCATGGATTCCAGAGCCTGTTTCACAAGAAAAAGAAATCCCAGTAGATTATGGTTCCGGTAAGACTATTGAATGAATTATTGTGATTAATCTTGATTTTTCCACACCACGAGTTCCTTAGTTGGTGCACCACTGAAAAGACCAGATTATGGAGAAAGTTATTCCATGTGATTACTAAGAGTTGACACTAAGTTGATGGCACATAATCAATTAGTCCATCTAGCTTTCCCACATTAGAAGTTCTCTAATTCTGCTCAAATTATACCTTTAACAACTACTACACTGTAGCATTGATCTAGAGTTTGGGAAACAAAGATCAGTTTTTAATTCAGCCACTGGATCGTCTTGATCTGAGGATAAAACAATTGGAGAAATACCACGATTGTATTTTGAAGTACGTTAAGACAAAATTACTCTTCCTTCCCTCCATATACGCCTTTAATGTTGTGCTTAATAAAATGTGCCCATTCTGAAATGGCTGTGTATTTTTTGTGCGAGGGAAGCTATCATTCAGAGTCTGGCTCTCAGGCAGCCTATTGTCTTCCAGAACTGTTGGTATTGCAGTTCCTAGCATTCCAAGGCATCAGGGCAAAGATAATTTTGGGAGTTGAAGTCCTAATATACCCAGAAAATGCCTGGTTGGGAACGGTTGTTCTGAATTCTTGCATAAATTTCTGGGATTTGCCCAGAAAATTGTACATCTCCTCCGCTGCCGGTTATCAAAATAGCATTTCTATCATATCTCATTTCTTTTGATCAGAGCTTCCAGATGTAATAATAAAGCTGGAACAGGAAGAGATTTCGTATGTTCCCTGCCCCCATGTTTCAGAAACAAGTGTGACATTCAAAACAGTCCAATCAGGTAAGTGAGATCAATTTACTCCATTACGTTTCATCACTAAGAAGAAAGGACCGTGCTGACCTTACCTCATATTCAGTGGTGGGATTGGAATAACTTAACAACTGGTTCTCTGGCTAGGTAGGTGTGGCCGGTTGGTCATGTGACTGGGTGGGTGACGTCACTCATTACACCTAGCCCTGCCTCCTGGTCAATCACCTCAAAGGCAGAGGTAGGATTCAACCGGTTGGTGCTAATCCCACCACTGGCTGGCCCCACCCCCGCTCATTTTTTGGCCTTTTGGGGGGCCGTTTTCCGGCCATTTTTCGGGTTAGGGTCCAGAAAACAGGCCAGAAAACAGGCCGGAAAGCAAGCAGGGGCGGGGCCAGCTGGTGATGGGATTTGCCAGTTCGCCGAACTGCGCAGAATCTTAACTACCGGTTCACCTCAATCGGCAGCAGCCCACCTCTCCTCAGATTCCTTCTAAGAGCCAGTTTTGTCTAGTACTGCAAGCTAAAAACCAGGCGACAGTGAATTTTAGTCCTACCTTAGCAATGGAAGCCATTTGGGTGTCTTTGGATTAATCACCAGGAATCTGTGAGTTCTAATCCCTTCATAGGAATGTAAACTGACTGAGTAACTTTGGGTCAGCCACTCCTACCTCACAGGGTTGTTGTTATTGTGAGGGAAAAGAGAAGGAGAAAGGAGTATTAGGTATCTTTGCTGCCTTGAATTATTTATAAAAATATTAAAGATGGAAGGAAGGAAGGAAGGAAGGAAGGAAGGAAGGAAGGAAGGAAGGAAGGAAGGAAGGAAGGAAGGAAGGAAGGAAGGAGAGAAAGAAGAGAAAGAGAAAGAAAGTGTAATGTCCTAGAAATTTCCCCGAGCCACTGAGATGCCAAAGAGAGTGAGAGTCGAGACGAAGCATGCAAAAAAAAAACCACAAACCAACAACAGCTTTTTATTTTGGCCAAAGCAAAAAGTCTGGGTGAATACTATATCCAAAACATACAGACAAAATGCATGTAAGGAATAGTCACACCTAGGTAAAGTTTGTCTAGGATCTTATACATTTGTTTAGCCAATCAGAGACAAAAGTTTGTTATTCAATGTGGGCAATGTCTTGCCCATGCCCTCCCGCCCTTATCCATGGAGCGTTCTTTGTCCGTGCTGTCTCCATACTTTGTTATTTTACACAGTATCCCTTGTCCTTGTGTGTTCATGCTCCTAGGCAGCCCCCCCTCTTTATTTATGGAGCAGGATATGTTCCTGGGAACTGTCTCCAAGGATGTGCCTCGCTCTGAAGCAAATTGCAGAAGCAAGAAAACCAGATAGAAAAGGATACAATTCTTTTACAGAATGAATTCCTAACAAATGATTCCTAACCATAGCAAAATAGTACAAGCAACTTCTTTAACAGAAGCAAGGAGCAAAGGTTAGATTGATTTGTGTCAATATGTCCTTTATAAAGAAAAAAGGAGAGAGAGAGAGAAAGGAAGGGAGGGAGGAAAGAGAGAGAGAGAGAGAGAGAGAGAGAGAAAGAAAGAAAGAAAGAAGAAAGAAAGAAAGAAAGAAAGAAAGAAAGAAAGAAAGAAAGAAAGAAGAAAGAAAGAAAGAAAGAAAGAAAGAAAGAAAGAAAGAAAGAAAGAAAGAAAGAAAGAAAGAAAGAAA